ACAAGATAAAGCATAACCCCAGAAAAAAATCACAGCTACAGCATTTACATACTAACCTAGAGTTATACAGAGCCTTAGGGATAATATACTCTAACTTTGCATTTTTCCAGTGAGAAAACTGAGACCCAAACAGGTTAAATTAAATGACCTGCCTAAATTCTGCTTTCACGACAGAATAGTAGATCACATCCTATATCCCCGGACTCCTTGTCTCGTGTCTTTCCATCATACATCATGCATTGTACAGCCAGAGACTTTTGTTCTTCTTCATAGCATTGCACCATTTGACTGTAGATTAAATGGTTTAGAAATAACCGAAAAGCCACTGTCTTTGAAAGTGTATTCTTTTGGGGATATTATCTACAGTAGATTATCTATTGCAACGTCTTTGTCACTGACTCTGTCTTTGAGACTTCAAAAACCATATTCTTTCCTCTATACTCCACTACTTCCTATAGAACTTTCTGCTATTGTTATATCCCAAAATAACAGATAATTGATACAAATCTGTGTGTAAATAGACTGTGTTCCCCTTGATGACAAGAACTAAGGGTAATTCTTATTTGTATTCCTTAGCAACTGGCGCATAATTTGTGATCAGTATGTATTTGTCAGATTGGGTTATTTTAAAGGATAAATAAATTCTATAAATTATATCTTGAATTGCTAACAATTTTGAAATGTCCATTTTATTGCTTTCTTTTAGTTATATATACGATGAAGATTTTATGAGGAGAAAAACTAAATGCTTAGCTTCTTTTTTTTTTTTTAAGTTGGAGTCTCACTCTGTCACACAGGCTGGGGTGCAGTAACCTGCTCATGGTCACTGTGGCCTCCACCCGCAGAGCTCAGGCAATCCTTCTGCCTCAGCCTTTCAAGTAGCTGGAATTACAGGCACACACCACCATGCCCGGCAAATTTTTTTATTTATCGTAGAGATGAGGTCTCACCAATTTGCCCAGGCTGGTCTCGAACCCTTGGGCTCAGGTAATCCTCTCACCTTGGCCTCCCAAATCGCTCAGATAATAGGCGTGAGCCACCACAGCCCACCAATTAGCTTTTTAACAATATAGTGTGCCATTACTCTTTATTAAAGTAATCTCAGCTTTACTTCTTTTAGGTCTAAAAACTGTGATAGATTTATGTTTAAAACTATATGATATGATTAAATTTCTAATCTATATGGTAATAATAGCTATCATTTATTGAATGCTCTTTCTGTGACAAACCCTTTACTCTAGTAACATTTACATTAATTATCTCTCATCCTCACAACAACCCTGTAAATACAATAAATATTGTCTCCATTCTACATAATGAAACTGAGACTCAGGAGGGCTAAGTAACTTGATCAAGTAGATATGTAGATACAGCTGTGAAAAGTTGTGAATTCAAAGCTTTTGTTCTTTCTGATCACTTCATGCTATTATATTGTTTTTGTTTTGTTTTGTTTTGTTTTGTTTGAGTAGGAGTCTCACTCTGTCACCCAGGCTGGAGTGCAGTGGCATGCTCACGGCCACCGCAGCCTCTACCTGCTGGGCTCAGGCTATCCTGCCTCAGCCTTCCAAGTAGCTAGAACTACAGGCAAGCACCACCATGTCTGGATAAATTTTTTATTTTTTGTAGAGATGAGGTCTCACAAAGTTGCCCAGGCTGGTCTCGAACTCATGGGCACAGACAATCCTCTCACTCCAGCCTCCCAAAGTGCTAGGATTATAGGCATGAGCCACTGTACCCAGCCCATGCTGTTGTATTGAAAGAATATCCAATAAGTTAGGAACATTTTAGACTTTGTGTTTGAAGAAATGCCTTACTAAGTGAAATAAAATTATTTTTGCAGGTACATAGTTTAAACTTCTTCCATAAACTATCATCAGCATTTTAGTGACTTAGCACAGTAGTAGTTTTTCTTACATAAACTCTAAAGTGAGAGATTAATAATTCTTCAAGCATTGATTCAGGGACTCAGGTTCTTTACATATTGTGATACTGCTGGCATCATGTGGCTTCCAAGGTAGAAAGAGTATGAAGGATTATACTTGGATGTAATTTATGGGCAAGTAACTTCTGAAGTAACTTCTACTTGCATCCTTTTGGCTAGAACTCAAGTTCAGTGATCATACCTAATAATGTAGTAAGTTTTATAATGGAGTTGTTCCTTCTACATCGCATCTTGCTATTGTTTTTGTTTTGTCAAAACAAACAAAAACTGGTGCCTAGAACAACTAGCTGGTGCCCAGAAAGAAAGGAAAATGAGTTAGGCAAACAGCCAGTCTGTGTCACAGCATCTTTAATATGTAAACAAATCTTATAAATCAATAAGAAAAAAGAGGCATCTCCCCCTAGTAGAGAAACAGGGGAAAGGCATTTTACAAAAGAAGAGAACAAATGATCAATAAACATATGTGAACATGCTTTATTTAGCAAAATTAAAAGTAATACAAGATAAAACAGTATGATATCTTTTTAATCTATCTAATTGGTATATTTCAAGGTAATGGCAAGGCTAGAGTGTGGGAAAATGGGTACTCATAAATTGGGTGGAAATGTTAAATTGGCTCAGGCTTCTGGAGACAGTATATATCAGCATTTTAAATGAACATGCTCTTTGATCTGTCAATTATTCTAATAGTTTATACTAAGGAAATAAATGGACAAAGCCCCAAACCCTATAATTTTAAATGTTCTTTGCTACTTTAATTATAAAGTCAACCAAGTGGAAATAAGTTAAAAGTTCACGAATAAGGGATTGATTAAATTACATAAGGTAGAATACTGTGCAACCATTGAAGAGTATGAAATGGTTAACATTTAGTATATGTGTGGACATTGAAAGACAACACATTGTTAAGTTAAAAACATAGGTTACAGAGTAAAATCAAATGGCATATAAAATAATATGTCTGAGTGTTAATATAAATATATATATGTGTGTGTGTAGCCTGGCAGAGTGTCTCATGCCTGTAAATCCAGTGTTTTGGGAGGCCAAGGTGGGAGGATCTCTTGAGGCCAGGAGTTAGAGACCAGCTTGGGCAACATAACAAGACCCCTCTCTAAAAAAAAAATTTTTTTTTTAATTAGCTGGGCTTGGTGGCACATACCAGCAACTCAACTGCTAGAATGGAAGAATCACTTGAGCCCAGGAGTTCAAGGCTATAGTGAATTATATTCAAGCCACTGCACTTCAGCCTGGGTGACAGAATAAGACCCTGTTTCAATAAAATAAAATATATAACTGTATATATGTGTGTATACATATGTGCATTTGTTTAAACAGAAAATGGCAAAAAGTAGGCCAGGCGTGGTAACTCACACCTGTAATCCCAGCACTTTGAGAGGCCAAGGTAGGTGAATTGCTTGAGGCCAGGAATTTGAGACCAACCTGGACAACATAGCGAAGCCTTGTCTCTACAAAAATAAATAAATAAATAAATAAATTAGCTGGGTGTGGTGGCACATGCCTGTAGTCCCAGCTACCCAGGAGACTGGGGTGAAAGGATCACCTGTGCCCAGGAGGTCCAGTGTGGGTAACAGAATGAGACCCTTACTCAAAAAATATATATATAAAAGTATACAAATAAGGGTTCATTTTCTAGAGGGTTGGTTAATGGAAGCTTATCACTTTCTACTTTATTTCTGCATTTTTGCCCTTTTTTGTAATAAACAATTTTATTATGAAGAGAACACTATCTTTAAAAAGCAAATCCCTTCAAACTTTTTTTTTTTTTTTGAGTTGGAGTCTCTCTCTGTCACCCAGGCTGGAGCGCAGTGGCACTCACGCTCACGGCCACCCCAACATCGACCTGTTGGACTCTGGGGATCCTTCTGCCTCCGCCTTCCAAGTGACCGGAACTACAGGTGCACACTACCATACCTGGATAATTTTTGATTTATTATAGAGATGAGATCTCGCCAAGTTGCTAGTAATCCCAGCACTTTGGGAGGCTGAGGTGAAAGGATTGCCTGAGCCCACGGGTTTGAGACCAGCCTAGGCAACATGTTTATTTTTATAATGTACCTGTTATTTATCCTTATATACCTCATTTGAATAGCTTCTTTGTTGTTGTTTAGCAAGTAAAGAACTAGAAATGACTGCAGGAACTGGTAAAATTCACATTGCTAAGTTAAAAACATAAGTTACAATGTAAAATCAAATTGAATGTAAAATAATATGTCTGAGTGTTAGTATAAATCTATATAAATGTGCTACCTGGCATAGTGACTCATGCCTGTAATCCCAGCACTTTGGGAGCTCAAGGTGGGAGGATCTCTTGAGGCCAGGAGTTGGAGACCAGCTTGGGTAACATAACAGGACCACTCGCTACAAAAACATTTTTTTAATTAGCTGGGCATGCAATAATTGACTTGCCTGAAAAGACTAAGCCATTATTGCTATTCCCAAAAATGACACTTTCTCAAAAAACTCACTTAAAACTTCTCAAAGATTGAACTAATTCCCCATGTTTTCTTAGAGTATCACTTCATATTAACTTCATATTTCATGTGTCATCCTAATAAATGTATAATTTCTCTTCGGTGTCAAGTATTTGCCTGTAGATCTGCTACCTCTCTCAACACAACTAGAGAGTCAGTGAGAAGTATGAAATTTTTGTCTTCTGAGATATGGAATATTTTACCATGAAGGTGATGACTATCTTAGTTGTGTGAGAGATTTTGAGTCTGCAAAACAAATGCTTACTCTTTTCTGAAGAGATTTGCTAATAGAATCCCAATTATACAGGCGTCGGGCTGTCTGTTAGAATCCTAGTTCTGCTACTTGATAGCCACTTGACTTTGAACAAGTTACTTAACTCTATGTGCTTCAATCTCCTCATCTATAAAATGAGGATAATAGAACTTATTTTGTAAGATTGTTGTTAGTATTAAAAGAGATCATTGTAGTACAGTGTAGGCAAGTAGTAAACAATAGTTATTATTCTTACTTTTCTATGTTTTTGCTTTCTGATGTTTTTCTGGATGTGGGTTTGATTCTGTATTAGGTTCAGAGCATCATTCGTTCCCAAACCAGTATGGGTATGCGCCACAGAGATCGTCCTACTACTGGCAACACTCTCAAGTCCGGCTTATGTTCAGCCCTCACAACCTACTTTTTTGGAGCTGATCTCAAAGGGAAACTGACGATCAAAAACTTCCTTGAATTTCAGCGTAAACTTCAGCATGATGTTCTGAAGCTAGAGGTAAGCATTTCTTGGACTTCAAGAGACCCAGGACATGTGAAGGCACTGGGTAGGAGGCCTGTACTATAGGCGTTATTTGAATTTACCTCCAACTATGAGAACTGATTGCTTTGAACCTTACTGGTGATCTGTCTTTCCTGGCAGCAGGTAGGAAATAACATGTTCTCTAAAAATGTTATGGAGTAAGGTGGTTCTGGAACTGAAAACCAAAAAAAGTCTAAATTTGAAAATCTTTGTTGTCTTTGGATTCTCAGCTTGTGGAGAAAAAAATTCAGGGATTAGAGCAGTTCTCACCTGGGCATGTATCCCCACTGTTAAGTTTACTGTGGGGAAGACACCAAAAGACAGAGATGAAGAAATAACAAATAGCTCTTTCTATGAAAGTTTGCAAAGGTAATAACTGTTGGAAGCACAAAATACAGAATAAAAAATACTATATCTACTTAGCCAGGTGTGGTGGCACGCACCTACCGGCAACCTTAGCTACCCAGGAGGCTGAGACAGGAGGATAACTTGAGCTCAGGAGTTCAAGACCAGCCTAGGTAACATATTGAGATCCTGTCTCTAAAAAATATATTTTAAAAAATGTTTTAAGCCAGGCTTGGTGGCTCAACCTGTAATCCCGCACCTTTGGGAGGCTGAGGTGAGTGGATTGCCTGAGCCCGCGGGTTCGAGACCTGCCTGGGCAACTTGGCGAGACCTCATCTCTACAATAAATCAAAAATCAGCCGGGCATGGTAGCACGTGCCTGTAGTTCCAGCTACTGGAAGGCTGAGGCGGAAGGATCGCCGTAGCC